CCCCCAACTCCTGGGCTTAGGTGATTCTCTTGCCTCAGCCTCCCAAGTAGCTGGGACTACAGGCGCCCGCCACAACGCCCGGCTGTTTTTGGTTGCAGTTTGGCCGGGGCCGGGTTTGAACCCGTCACCCTCGGTATATGGGGCCGGCACCGTACCCACTGAGCCCCAGGTGCCGCCCGAAAGCTGCTTATTTTTAAAAAGTATTTGCTTTCAGTATAGTTATATAATGTTGTCCAACCTTTTGTATATCAAGGCATATATAAAACTATTTGTACAGCAAATCCCAAAAAGATGGTTGGTGGCCACTGTGGTGGGGATGTTGACGTGATGTCTGGCACACTTGCAGCCTCCCTGCACACAGCCAGTGAGCTGCAGCCCGCACCACCTGGTTCCCTCTGCTGTGTGGCACCGCAGTGCAGATCAGTGCCTTCCATTCTCAGCACTGTGTTTGCACCATCAAGACTAATTGGAAGAGGTGAACTGAATAAAGTCCTCTCATTTTCATAAAATTTGAAATTCAATAAGAATGTTTGGAATCCAGTTTTTCACTCTTAAAATATTGAAGATGTAGCTGAGGCCATCACTTTTATTTCTGGAAACTGAGTTCAGTAGGAAAATCGGCCAGATTATTCTTTGCCAAATTATACTTCCAAATCAACAATTTTTGAGTGAGAATGAGTCAATCAAATTATACATTTATGCAGCCTGCTGTGAATGCCTTGCTGAAAAATATTCAAAGCATTTAATTAGATTTTACAGTCAACCCAAAGGCCAAGCTTTCAATCCAGCCTTTTGCTACAGAGCTGGCGTAGACATTTTTGCTTAGATGACATGAGCAGTTTCCGACCACGGCTCCCCAGCGCCGTGCGCGCCACACTCACGTCCAGTGTGGTGTGACAGCTGCACTCTGTGCTATCTGTTTGTCACGCCGCCAATCCTGTGGTTTTAGCCAAGGGAGCATATTCCGCTGGTGGTGTAATTACTCTGTCCGTGCCTTTCTCCATTTTCAACTTTGCTTTTAGTGCATGAGTGATTCTTAGTGCAGGAGGCAAATGAAAAAACTCAAGTTTCATATCTTTGTGGGTCGTACTAATCACCCAGGGACAGAAAATACAGGCAGCGCTTCATCGTTTTGGTCTCATCTCCATTAAATTTTGAAGTTTCCTTGAAACTCAAAGAGAAGTCATTTCCTGATGTTGTGGCCAGGATAGGGCCAGCGTCTAAAAGTACCTTCGTCACATAAAAGTGCTCAGCCTGTAAGTAGAGTGGTGGGGACTGTGTGGGAGTGTCCCCTCCTGCTCTGGCATCACCAGCACCGTCCCTTTATAAACTGCTTCTCCCAGTTTCCCAAGTGTGTCCTCAGCATGCTGGGAAATTGTGTGTATCCACTTAGATTTACTTGGCAGATGCTTATTTGAGACTAGGACCCACAGAAAGTTTTTACACCAACGAAATTTTTTTCCCTAATAACATAGCTGCATTTCACAGAAGCATCACGTATTTTTTACCCCTATTTAAAAACAAGCCCCATGGCTACTCGGGGTGGCTCATGCCTGTAATCCTAGCACACTAGGAAGCACCAGGCAAGAGGATTGGTTGAGCTCAGGAGTTTGAGACCAGCCTGAGCAAGAGCAAGACACCACCCCCTCCACCCCATCTCTACCAAAAATAGAAAAATGAGCCAGGCATTTATGGCAGGCACCTGTAGTTCAGCTGCTCAGGAGGCTGAGGCAGGAGGATCACTTGAACCCAGGAGTTCGTGGTTGCTCTGAGCTAGGCTGACATCATGACACTCTAGTCTGGACAGCAGAATGAGACTCTGTCAAAAAATAAATTAATTAAGAAAATAAAAACAAACCTTTCTGAAATTAGATCATCTGTTCACCTCATTCAGTTTATCATCTCCTGTGTTGTTTTTATTCTTTGTATATTCCAGTTCTGCCTCTTAATATCATTGGTCTATCATGGTATGCACTTTTTTGGACACACGCATATTTTGCATATTAGTCATATGGGAACATATTTTTACTTGGACAAGAAATACGCTGTCTGCTATGTTTTTTTAAAAGATGTAGTAGTATTAAGCATTTTCTCTTATAAGTGTTGCCAGTGGTGTGTGTATAGAAATATATTTCTCTGCTATTGGAAAACCACTGTAAGCATTCTGAGTGACAACTGACATTCTGTGCTATCCCAAAGCTGCTTCTAGTGGGCCCCACCTGGTTTGTCCATGGCAGGAAATAGGTCTGGGGTACAGACAGCCTGACGTGTCATTAGAACAAGAAACGAGTGTCTGTAGACATTACTGGTCTTTGAGCTGTGATGTCTTAGGGGCTGGTATTTCCTATTAAATAGAAATAGAAAATTAGGCCCTAGCAATGTTCTTGTATGAGGGACCAAATTTATGTTAATGCATCATTACTATTATTTCTACTTAAATGAAATGTGTCTGAGACTTTCCCATTTATTCTAAAATTATTTCTTTACACTCCATATTGCAAATGAAGAAATTTGATCTTACATTGCATTTATGGAGAATGGATCAGACAGGCAATCCTTTAATTTTCTGAGCAAGCAGATTTATTATATTTTTTAATCCTTATGTCTGTCATTAGATTGTGTTAGCCATTTTGCGGAACTTTTAATCATAAAAAAATTTGATGATTTTCTAAAATGTTTAGTAGATAGTTTTACAAAAAGAAATAAGTCAAAAAGTCATCTGTGGGGTTAGCCTATTGAAAATTAAAACCATTTTGTTTTGAAACTGAGCTGCTTGGTTCATTTGTAAACATTTAGTGAGTACTGGGGCGGCGCCTGTGGCTCAAAGGAGTAGGGCGCCGGCCCCGTATACAGGAGGTGGTGGGTTCAAACCTGGCCCCAGACAAAATCTGTCCCCCCCTAAAAAAAAAATTAAAAAATATAAAGAAATAAAACATTTGCTTAGTACAGCTGTGTGCTACATGTCAGGCTCTCTGTGAGCACCAGGGAAATAGTGAAAAGGAACCCTTCTGCTCTCACTTAGCTTGTTAAATTTGTAATTCATCCTTATGTTGAAAGTGATGGTGAAATATTTATAGAGTGATGAATAAGGTAAATCTGTCCGTAAATGTGTGAACCTTGGTTTCAGGAATTAATTTAGGTCGCCTCTCCCTCGAACTAACTTTATTTTGCAAAGTGAGACGTTTAGATGATAATTAGTGCTGTGGCCGGCTTCATCTTCACCTCTGGATACACAAACACAGATGTGTGAATTTATGTGTCCCCCCAGCATATATGTGTGTGTATGTATAATTTTTTATTTTTATTTTTTCGAGACAGAGTCTTACTATGTTGCCCTCGGTTGAGTGCCGTGGCGTCACAGCTCTCACAGCAACCTCCAACTCTCGGGCTTAGGTGATTCTCCTGCCTCAGTCTTCCAAGTAGCTGAGACTACAGGCACCTGCCACAATGCCCGGCTGATTTTTTATTTGTTGTTGTTGCAGTTGTCATTGTTTAGCTGGCCTGGGCTGGGTTCAAACCCGCCAGCCCCAGTGTATGTGGCGGTGTCCTAACCCCTGAGCTATGGGCACCGAGCCTATGTATATCATTTTAGAATATTTTAGGTCTATTTTTTCACGTTTCCCAAGTTTTATATTTGCCTTGAATGGTACTTCTCATGTCTTTCCTGTTTAGATAAAGTTACAAAGTTGGGTAAAGATTTTACCTGTTTGAAAAAATATGTTAAGAACTGTGCTGATTCTGGCATCTTCCTCCTCCCCTCCCTGTCCCATTCTGGTGACGATAGGTCATTCCTAACGTGCATAACAAGGCCACCAAAAGTGCCAGCAACCAGGACCAAGGCAGCCAAGGGAAGAGAGAAAAGGTAACGTGGAACTCTCAAGCTTTTTTATTTACTTCAAAGTTGTACGGGGTTATAAATACTTTTGGTGGCACAGAGCACCTTTATAATGCTTGTGTCGTGTTTATACGCGTACCCATCACCCAGAGACTGCTCACGGTTCCCGTCAGGTACGTTTCCCAGCTCCCCGCCCTGTGATCTCTGTCCCATTTCTAATTTGCAGCCCCACCAGCCATGTGTGCGTGTTCCTTTCTCTCTGCATCCACACTCGCATCTGTTACTTGGGGGCTTTTTAATACAAGCCACTCTAAC